ATGTCCTACTTGAGAAGCTGATAGTCTTTTCGAGTGGGCGTCACGCCACATTTGATTTGCTCGTTGAGTAACAGTTTGAGCTTCTAATGAAACACAATCACTGTCAGTAAGAACAATATCCAATGGCCACCAAACATTTGTATGGCTTAATTTTAATTCTTCTAATGATGGTAACGGTTGAAGTGGAAATGGTGGATAGTCCATATTTTTTGGATATGTTGGTTGTTCATAATCATCAATGCAAAATGTGTACTCTTTACCAAGTTCATTGTACTGTTGTAGTGCTAAAGCACTTATAGAATATGTAGGTCCAAATTTAGTATTGACCAGTGCTAACTGTTGTTGCTGTAGAGCATGATCTAATATAGTTGCAAATGGTATATTTAATTCAGAAGATCGATTTTGTCGTTTCGCTTGCAGACAAATTGGCCATGTTAGTAGGTTCTGGAGCTCTCCATGAGTAATAGTAGTTGAGAAATCCGAATCAGGAATATAATCATATTTTAACAGTTGATATGACGCGAGACGATAAAGAACGGAACAAACATGGCTGCAAAATTCACTATTACCATATTTACAATCACAATTTGCTGTTACACCTTTGAGATCTTAAAAAAGATGTGACATTATACACTTGTCAGTAGAGAAGAAATAAAATTTTATAAATACCTGATACAGTTAAGTCTTTAGAAATAATTTTAATTGAGCATACATTCTTTTTTGACGTAGAATGTTTGACATTTGATGTTACTCTTATTTCTGTTGCCATAGGTGTAACAACAATCTTCATAATGTGACCTTTTTTCTCTGTGTAAGGCATATGATTTTTCACGTACCATAGAATTTTGAATATCATTTGTTTCGTAACCATCACAAATTTCATTTAATTTCTGTCTAATATAATTTTCGATATCTCCAAAAGAAAGCTTAGGCAAACAACGAAGATCTGACATCTTGTCAATTAATATTATATTTTTACTATTATATTTTGCAAAGACATAAATATGTGCAGAAAAGGCTACGGGTGACAGAAGCGAAAATAAAGGAAGAGAGACACTCTAGATGGTCAAGCAGTTTAGGCAGTCAGGGAATTTCGGCAGCCTAGACAGTCAGACAAACATGCATCTGTATTAATTTTTATTATTTTTTTCGTTCTGTTATATCCATATTGAATATTCACTTCTTTATATGACGCAATATAACAATGATTGTCGAAATATATACTGCAAAAATGCATTAAAATCGTTGAAAATAGCCCACAACCTCAGTCAGACATACTGTTGTCCCTTCTACCAAAAAAATTAATTAATCATTTTAAAGTGAAAAAAAGTTTTAATCATTTTTTTCTCAGGAGGGTTTTCAGAAAACCGTACAGAAAACCATGATCACATAATATAGGAATCTTGTCAAATACCCAGTTTTGCTCAGTTTTTCATTCTCTATCTAATGCTGTTTGTGCGAGGTCTTCATCGCTTTTCTGTGTTGAGTTATTAGCTTTCAAAAAAATTGCAAATTTTAAAATTTCCAAAAAAATTTAAACATTTGAATTCAACGCTAGAGACTCAATTTTTTTCAAAATGTAGCCCATTCCCTGCTGAATACAGCCATGCAATTAGAAATTCTCCATCGTTTCTTAGTTTTTCAGAAACAAGCATTTTTATCGACCAGTGGGTCCAAAAACCATGATTTTCTAGAAAACATACTTCCAAGCATTTTGGAGAAAAGTGTCCGCTAGACAAAAGAAAGAGCATGATCTGAAACCCTTAAACCCCTGATAGCTATACATTCGGTTAAGACCGAAAAAAGTTAACCTAGACCGACTTTCTCATCTAACACGCCTATTCTAATTCGACAGGTGGTTGAAATTTGACCTCAAAATAAAAGTGAGAGAGACTAATATCGTCTGGTTTATTCACTTTTTTTTACCGACAAGGTTACGTTTGCCATATGTGAAGCATCGAGCATTCACGCTTGGACTTCCAGAGAATGTATATTCGTGGATATTAGCGATCGGGTCAGTTCGTTGCTAGATCCAATCTATCTAAAATTGCTGTGCACTCACCTTGTAAAATACTTCATCTTTTTCAAAATAAGTAGTTTCAAGTAGATCAGAAAACAGACATCAACGTCAACAAATACGCAGAGAAATAGTCTTTATACTACGTTAAAAAAAGACGAAGTACTAGTCATACAACAGTCACTTTTTTTCCGAAAACATTATGCATGCGTATATTGAATACACATGTACACTTGCTCAGTTCGTCATATTCATAATATCGAAAAATAATGCTTAACTTCAAGAAACTCTAGCACATAAGCCAAAAAAGATTGTGTATCACATGAGAAAGAAATGTGACTTTCTCGAGCACCAAGGCACCAAGCCTTTGAGAAAAAACTCCACTAGTACAGATCTTGCTTCTTTAACCTTTGACTTACTTTATTTTTTGGAGTTTCTAAAAAACTGGTTTTCCAAAAATCGGATCTCCGGAGACCTATTAGCAGCTGCCATGGTCATATTCTGAATCAGCTTAATCGATAACCTATAATCCACTAGGTTTCGTCCCAAAAGCGATTGGACAGTTGGGGACCTTCCCTCGTAAGTCAAAGGTTAAAGAAGCAAGATCTGTACTAGTGGAGTTTTTTCTCGTTTTATCCAGTCGCATTACGACCCCTCGATAAAATGATCCGATCGAGCTGAAATTTTTTCCACAGATACTTCAGGCCCTATCTCAGATTAGAATTTTTTCTTTTTGAAAAATATGATTTCTTTCGTGAGATATTGAAAAAATACTAGAAATCTCAAATGAAAAATTGGTTTTTTATTTTAAAAACTTTCCCACGCCAAAGGTTGAAGTCAAAAAAGGTTAAAAAAAAATTATAATCTGAGATAGACTCTGAAGTGTCTTTGATAAAATTTTGAGCTCGACCGAAGCATTTTTTCGAGGGGTCGTAGTGTGACTGGAGTGAAGAGGCTATTGAAAAAACACATTTAGAGAAAAACGCAAAACAATATTAAAGCGCAGTTTTCGTCCTAAAGATATATATTATAGCTGTCTGGTTAGTGTATCTCTAGGTTATTGGCCATCCTCTATCTGATGGACATGCGCAGGAGCATGTAGCACATATGCTGGACTATTTGCTCGTCCAATTTTTTATTCAATTTTACATGATATTTCACGAGAAGCGTGTGAACAAGGATTTTTATTCTGGCATCTTTTCTTGTCATCTCTGACAATGGTGTATTTTGTACTAAAAATTGAAAACGGGAAAGAAAAGCAATCGCCAAAATAAAAGTATAAATATCGGATAAGAAAAAAATGCACTGGGATATTGATAAACTCAGAAGAAAACCCGTTCTACTGTAATACTATTATATACAAGACCAAACGTTTAAAACTTTATTCGCATATGCTCCCATTTCGCTACTACGTATGCGGCACATGCCTCTGCACATATCCAACGGATAAAGAAGGACTCATGACGTACACGAAATGTAACTTTCCTAAGCACAAAACATATCAATTTCATCCAAAAAACTAGAAAATTAGAAATATCGTCAAGGACGATCTTTATAAGCCACCTAGAAAACCTTTCCTTAGAAAGAGTAAACAGCTTCGTACAACAGCAGAAAATAGCAGTTCTTTTGTTCTTACAACAACAGTCAGTCTATCGGCCGACCATAAAACAAAATGGAAGATAGGATGAACCGGGAGAAGTTCACGTCCTTTTTACAGAAATTGTATTTTATCATAATTAAGTTATAATAAAAATCCCATCTCATTGGGACGCGACGTTTTAGTTCGCACAACACTAAACTACTTATTCACTACGTTATAATTGGTTCAATGATTTTATCCATTGTGGAAGTAACCGAACGAAAAAGAAAAGAAGCACCAACTGCTGGTTGGTCCAGCGTTATTGCAAAATGGACAAATTTCCGCACAGCCCTTCGAAGACCCGGTTTTCTAGAAAACGAGTTTTTCAGAAACCCCAAAAAATAACCCGAACCGTTCTTAATGAGGCATGATTGTAGCCCGCACATTTCTGATTAAAA